AGTCGGTGACTTTCTGATCAAATGTTTCTTTGTTGAACAGGCTGCTCGATAAGCTGAGGGCTCTGGTGACGATGAATGAGAACCTGAAGCAGCAGGAGCAGGAGTTCCGCACACACTGCAGAGTGAGCATCAATGCAATCACTGTCACTGTGTCCTGCTGATGCTCACTAGCAGCATTTCTTCCTCTTAATGCCTGAGCTCTGTGTGCAGGAAGAGATGACTCGTCTGCAGAGGAACATTCAGGAGCTCAAGTCTGCATCAGGACAGGATACAGAGGAAGAGAAGGTACATATGGCGGTCGTCTCTTACAGTATAAAGTCATTGTTGCCGTTCCTAGATTGTGAGCAGGTGAAAGTTAAGCTTTCCACTCAGATCATCTTGATTTACAGCACTTTCTCTTTCCTTAGGAGAGGGACCAGCTGATAGACAAACAGTACAACACAGGGAGAGAGAAACTACAGAAGATCCGCCTGCTCATGGTAACTACTTCTTAAACCACAGTAACGACTGCAAGTCGAACAGGCGGTCGGGTCTCTCGTGCCCCAATCCTGGGTTTCAGCACCGCTGTAAACGATGCGCGACAGACCCGACCACGTGTTTGCAATTTTTAGTTCACTGATTTATTGCGGCTGTCAACTAACACACACAGCTGCAGCAGTTGCGCATATTATTATCCTGCATGCCGTGAATTTCTTTGTTCCCCCGTAAAAGTGATTCCGATGTTAAACATTAGTTCCACATGACTTTTCTGCCAGGTAACCTGCGCCCCACTTGGTAGAACTCTGCGCCCCCGAGAACCAGTGATCTAAACTAACACAAACTTGGTAAAGAGTAAATCAGTTTGCTAACCAGTTATTAAACCATGGACTTCACTCTTTTTAGTCTTTGGTACACTTCTATATTGTTCTTTCTTTGTGAGTTATGTTTGCTGATTTTTGGTTTGTGTTTTGTTGGTTTGGGAGAAGACTCAGTTTTTGGGTTTTGAGGGGATAACGGGGCAGAAAAGCTGATTAAAATCTCTCACAGTACAAAACTCACTATTGCTCTCGCTTAGGGATGCACCGATACCGATACTGGTATC